TTCCAACCCCTGTCCAAATCTTTGAAATTAACAGGGACATGATTAACCTCCTGTATTGGTGATAAGATCCTTATGAAAACATTTTTGATCATTTGCGAAAGCATATAAGAATATCAACTCACGAAACCTCAAATAATATCAGCGCATTGCTCAGTCCAACACGACGATCTGAGGTGCATATATTGCGTACATGTGCTCAAATTTCATATAACTCGATCCTGCTTAATTAGACCGTGAGTATCTAAATGCAAAACCTGTAATTGGACCATGAACAAGCTATTTCGTAGAAGGCGTGAGACCGCTCTTGCGAGGAAAACGCGACCATACGACATAACTAATGCACTTTTACCTCCGGCACTGTAATTCAGATCAGGACAGTTCCATAAACTTCACGAAAGAGCAATGTCTCAGATGATGCATGCCACTCATGAAAGCATATTATTCTGACAATAATTAATATTCATCTCTTTATACTTTATTACGCTGAAATTCTTAACTAAATCTTGCAAACAACACTGCTGATCTATCGATGAGAATTAGTAACGATTGAAAAGAACAGCAGAAACCAAGGAAACGAAAAGCAACCTGGACGGAAATGTTGTGAAGAAAAAGTGAAAGAAGGATGAAGAATAAAAAACTCTGAAATAACAGAGAAACGTGGCTCATTCAACGACGACGCAAAGGTCTATTCTCTCGAATGACAGACCACTGCCACGATTATGTCTCAAAACGAACTGCTGCTGAAGACAACCTCAACACCAATGGAACATCACCACCTGTTTTGCGTGCGAAGAAAATTCATAAGATGCGGGCTGAAATATCAACCACAACCACAGCAACCAACGGGGGTACACTTTCTACTGATTATCATATAGAATATATATATCTATCAGGTAGTTAAAGGCGAACTGTAACCCCAATCACAGTACGTACCACACAACATAGCCGTACGTCTCACCCATTCAGGCATAACCACACCGCAACACCACCGAGTTGTTCTTAAGTCAACAACTGCTCCCCGTTTCTCGGCTGGTTGCAAAGAAGCAAAGTAGTGTAAAGTTAAAATCCGTATTCAAATGGATACTCGGTAGACCAATTCTTTCCACCATGTTTAAAGAAGCCGCGATAATGCTGTATTTCGCAAAGTAGGAAAATACGACGACTTGCTGAGTCAACGACGCCACGGCAACCTCTCTTGACGTAGTATCAAATTGCTCATTTAATCTGATGAAATTGAAAATTTGCAGCAGCTGTTTCTCAGCATACTTACGTTTTGTGTTCTCTTGCATTTCAGCCGCGGAAAATGTTTTTAGCCTTGACCTAAGTCGAAAAGAAATCATATGACAGACAGCAGCATAAACGAAAATGAAAGCAAGTGAAGCTAAGGACACACGCAACAAATTGCTAAGAAAATACATACTTGCAAGCTATAACCGTATCCACTAACGAACCAGCGTTCTCACGGTAGATATGCGTCTATGGTTCATCCATGAACTGAAACTCAAATAAGCAACTTGAGGTACAAGGATGCAGAGTCTACCTCACGTTGAAGCCGTTTTCATGAACAGACAAAGAATTAGCCTTTACATGCGGCCAAAATAAGTGAACGATACGGTTTTCTAGCAGTACAACCGAATAACATGGTGTGGCATGTCGATCAGTTGAAGATGACGAGTAGAGTTTATTTCTGTTAGTAAAATCAAGGACCCTTATATATTAAAGTAGTCCATCGATTCTTCTCAAGCCACCTCGCGAGAAGCTGTTATGCGATTCCAGTAAGTTTGAAAGTATCACTCAGCATTCAACTCAACTTCCACGTGTTTGTGTTCCTCAGCAACCTCGGATGCGTTTATCAATGCTTCCATGATCCTGATCAAAATCTGTTTCCGTAATCTTGCCGCTTATTAACTTGCCACCGTTTTCGTCACCGCTTTAAACGGACAGGAAACTTAGATTTTGCACGTATAGCATGCATAACACAGTACCGATTCAGTCAAGAAACTCTTTTTTTGATCCCAAGATATGTACAGTGGCGGATGCTCAGGTACACACCCTTAGAGGGATAAAACGCTATATCCATTAACGTTTCCATCTGTCGACATATTTTTCTTTCAGCATGACGCGCTTAAATTTGTGCAGGAAACTGTGATCCACCAGCTATCCCTCCTTTCTTATCCGACTCCTTCCGCTTCAGATTTCATGACAAACCTTTAAGGCTACCGCAAAAGTTTAGCAGCATGGAATTATTTTGCAGTCAATCAGATTAGGTAGTAAATCGCTTTGCGTTAAAACCAAGAATATGGCTAAAAACAAAAATCAAACCACAGAAGAAAGAAAAAAATGTCAAAGTCCACAAAATTACTAAAATTATTATCTTCCAAGCATGCCCACATATAAATCTGAAACTCTGCCAAATAGGACCTGTACAGAGGAGACTACAACAGATCATCACTAAATAGATCACTGAGTCATTAGATTAGTAGTTACAATTGTTAGGAGGTAAACATTGGCAAAAGTCAGGGTTGAAACATTTGTCCGAAATGATCGGCCAAGAAGTTAAGCCTGCTTGAAAAAAAAATACCCAAACTACCTCTTACATTTCTCAGAGTCGTCCATGGCGAAAGCAGTTAGCAATACACAGCAAAGATGAGCAACGTCCAGCAATATACTACGCCACAACCAGCACTGACAAATTGCTCCTGCGAATCGAGGAGTCGAGTCGAGACGACACGAAGGAGTCAAAGTTGAGGAGGATCGTCGATAACGCCACCTTGCGTCAGTGCGGTGCGGTTGATTCGCTTGTTATGACGTACTGGCGGCCGTTTTCAGACGACTCTTTTGAAGAACTGACAGCTTTCACCGATGCTCCTATAGTTCATTTGTCGCCTGATATTGCTGCCGATTTTAGATCATCGTTGATCATCGTCTCATTGGTTTATTTTTGCTTACCCGTGCCAACGGCCGGATGCTTCGCCGTGTCATCGACTACCTGATGATCGAGAATACACCGTTGTTTGGGAAATGGGAAGGGAAAAGCCTCGGACACGATTCGCATCCCGGTTATGACCAATGCTGCTTTCACGTCTTCTACACAAGAACTCTGAGCGAAAGTTTTGTGACCGAGTAAAAAAATGTTTGGCCCATGGTTCTGCTACGGCTTATAGGTCTCGAGCTACGTACAACACCACGATCACGGAGTTTGAGCGGTTTTCCCCCAAAGTACCACTTCTATGAAAGGGCTGAATATGGATGAAATCTAGTCTGTTCACTAGCGCATGCTCTACGAACGAGTTCCAACAAGTCTCTATCTTCATGAGATCAAGGAACACCTCAAGACGTTCTAGGTAGATTCTGTGACGGTAAGGAAAAGTTCAATTTTGTCAGTGGATTGCGGCCTGGTTGCGATTTCGCAGCACCACCATGTTCTGAAAATCGCTGAGCTCTTTAAGTCGAATGCTGAAACGGTAGGCTAAATATTCATGTATTTGTTACTCTGTGCATAAGGTAGGCAAGGTAGATAAGGTAAGAATTTTTTTGGATAGTAAAGTAAGTACCGGTAAGGTAGCAAAGTGATATGCATGTACTACCCTATAGGACAGATCAAGTAGGCAGAATACATTTGCTGCTCGGTTAGTGACGGTTGTCTATCCATTATCGGCACTGGCAATAATTAGTAATATATTAATAGTAACAAACGTCATTTTAACATACTAAAACTTGTTTAAACTTATGTTTTATGTTTAAATAATTCATAATGCAATGATCATTATTAAAGCTAGGTATTCAGGAGAAAAAATGACCAGATATGGTTTATATTTTTAAACAGTCAACCATTTTCAACCTTTTTTCCATTTCACTGACGAAGGGTAAGACAGAAATATGTCGTTGTCTTTGCCATTTTTGATAAACAAGCTTACATCTACAGCTGTTGGTACGAGAGTAGATCGATTTTTGTCAACCACCCGACAATCTTCTCAACATAACGCGATTAAGCAGTAGGGAAAGTTAAACACTAGAAATTTTTGTTTTGATTATGAACCACATAATTAACAAATTGATTATATTTTTGAAGCGATAGTTTTCGACACATTTTTGGCCTGCGTGTTATACTTGTTGACATATAAGACTACAACCTTCAGAAGAGTTCGCATACATAAGCAGAAGGTCTGGTGAACAACGTTCTTAGTTTGGCAACACCTCTGCCATAAGGAGAGGGTTACTGCATGATAGAAACAACAGTTTCTTTCCGAAAG